AGCAGTTTTTCTAAGGATTGGGAGAGCTGAAAACTTCCGAGAATAATGGGGGAAAGTTCCTTAGGCTAAGAAGGGCCCTTTGTCTTCCTCTTATTGCGGCTGGGCTTTGATTAAAAGTCAGGGCTGTAGTTGAAAGGGGCTAAGGGTGTGACAGGTTGCCCATAACAGATTGGAGATGACCTTTTCCAACCATCATTTCCAATTCACAAAGTTTGGGATGAAGTAGCCTTGTGAAGTGGGAAAAATCTTCTGGAGATTTTCCAGAACTATTTCCCCGTACCTGCATACCCCTGCCTGGAGAATAATCTCTTTTTGCAGACATATATCTAGAGCTGTGCAAAAGAGGTGATCCTTAAATTTTGAAAATCAAATTGTAATGTAAATGAGATAAGGCAACAAAAAAAACTCTTTGATTTTTAGGTCTTCAAATTTCCCTAAAGTAGGCGACTTAAAATATGAATATTTTAGAAAAACAGATTTTACTCATTTGATCACTCATCCATCTTACTATGAGTGTATTCCTCAGGGACCCATTCCTTCAAAATGAAACTCAGATGTTTTTTGGGGGGTTTCTCCTTTCATAATAAACAGCAGTGTATTATTTTCTGGAACTATTTGAGGATAGGTATACTTTCACCTAGCACTTTTATGGAATGATTTACCCCAAAATCCATACCAAATGATCACTCTTTGCTTAGCTCTCAACAATTATATTATATCACATTACATTGCAAATCCATTTTCAACTGCTTTTATCAATGCTTTCCAAATTCCTTAGGTGAATATGAACCAAGGTGAATCTTGACTGATTTCATCAGTCAAAAGATCCCTCGCTCCACCAAAATGCCCTACTACTTTGCCACTGCAAAAAGAAGAAGGTCACCAGAGGATCAATGGTGATATTTTCAGGCCGGAGTCCATTATTTATCATATCAGACACAAATGAATAGATGTAGCTATATTATGGACACCCAGGCATTGAGAGTTCAGTCCCAAGGACTTCTGGGAGATCACTGTATTTAGAGGACCACTAATGTTATTTTTTTTCTAAAGTTTTTGTTTTATTTTATTTCTTGTTTTATTTTATTTCTTTATCTTTAGAAGGGAAGGGAAGGACAGAAGGAGAGAAATATCAATGTATGGTTGCTTTTGGTGCATCCCCTCCTGGGAACTGGCCCCTGCTGGGAACTGGCCCCTGCTGGGAACTGGCCTGCAACCCAGGCATGTGCCCTGACTGGTTCGCAGGCCCGTGCTCAATCCACTGAGCTACACCAGCCAGGGCTACTAATGTTATTTTTGTAATATGACTTTATATCATTTTCCTTGTTCTGGCTTAGTTCTTTAAAATTTTTTATTTCTCTTAGATCTCATTCCCCTACCCTTTAGCCCTTCAGTCTCCAATATGATGTTGGGTAATAATAATAAATATAACAAATGTTCAGAATTCATCTACTAAAAAGTCATACCTGTACTTTCAATAAGGGTTTCTGGTTTGATTTGCCTTATGCTGCAAAAAATTACCTAATCGATTTTATTGAGGGCAAAATGGCTACCACACCAGGGTAGAGGAGTGTTGTTTCAAAGCATATTCCTTATCTTTGTCAGAGAATACTAATGTTATACTTATTCTCCATAAAAAAAACAAACAATGCACTATTACTCAGCTGTAAAAAAGAAGAAAAATTGTTTTTTTGACAGCATGGATGGACCCAGAGAACATTATGCTATGTGAACTAAGCCAGTCAGAGAAAGACAAATACCATATGATTTCATTCATATGTGGAATCTAATGAACAAACTGAACTAACCAGGGAAGTGGGTAGAGTCATAGATGGAGAGCAGGATGACAGCTGGTGGTGAGGAAGTGAAGGGATAGAGAGATAGAGCAAAAAAGAAAAAAGGACTCATGGACGTGGACAACTGTGTGGTCATTGTGAGGTGGGGCAGGGTAAGGGGACTAAATGGTAATGGAAAATACAATAGAAAAGAAAAACAAACAATGCAGTTTACAAAGAGAAGATAAGACTGGCAGCTTTTACCCCTAGGTGGGCTTTGCTATGTTCTAAGTAGATCTGGGAACAAAGCATTAAAGGCTATCTTGCCAATGAAAGAAAAAAGAGAAGAGAGAGGAGACAGGAAGAAAGAAAGAAAGAAGGAAAGAATGAGATAGAGAAGAGGAGAGAAGAAGCTGAGACCCCTGACCCTTCTCTGGGAGGGGAATTCCAAAGGCTTTTCAAACCTTTTTTTCCTGTCCTTTGATATGTGACATGCAATTCTCCTTACCCTGCCCCCCTTTATTTTTTCTCTGTCCTTTTGTGACCCTTTAAAAAACACCTAAGCTCTGAAAATAGTGCATTGTTTTCTTTCAATTTTTGGAGTAAAACCTAGCAGAATAATAAAGAGGAATTTTAAAACAAGCACTGACCTGGGAAACAGGGTTTCAGGTTTACCATTACAGGCTGTATGGCCTTGGTCAAGTTACTTAACTTCTCTGAGCTTCAGTTATAAAATAAGCGTACTCTTCATATTTCTGTGAAAATTGTTGGCTGTATCAGGAAATTGTACAGAAGTTCAGGGAAAAGGGTAGTGAAATTTGTATATTTATGAAAGATTTGAAATATAAGTCGCTTTTTCAAGGTGCAAATTATTTATAAAAAGTTTTCTATTTTAATCTTTATCTTGACTCACATCTCTATCTGAGACTTGCCATTATTACCACCTCCAGGTGTAAAGTGCCCTCACCTGACTTGCCCCTCTGCATACTTCCTTCCTGATCAATCTCACCAAAGCCTTTCGTTCAGAATAGCAGTCTCTCACCCATTGCTACCTAATTAGAAGCATTGTTTAGTAAACAGAATTGTTTGGTAAAAATTGTTCTGTGAAATTTTGACAGAATTGTTTAGTAAAAATCTGCTTTAAAAATGTGACTGGCAATTAGCATCACTGTCTTTTCCTCTTCTTCTGTTTCTTTCCTTTGTGATCGCTGTAATAATCCCCACTCATTTGCATTCATAATACTAGAGAGGAAAGAAAGCAGAATTATGATTACCTTTCCCCTTTAAGAACAGGTAGATCATTGGTACTTCTGGATGGTGACTAGTCGAATAATTTAAAGTCAGAAATAACTATTTCAAGAGAAAGGAGATGCTGCATCCAATGGCAAATGTATACCATGCATTTCAATTGTCAGCTTATTACTCTGGTCTGATTGACCAAACTTTAATAAAGTTTGGCCTATGGCTTTTCAACCCATCATTTTAACACCTGCATTGGCTATTTGCAGCTTCTCCTTTCCTCAAAGCCAAGTAGTTGCCGTACCCTTGGGGTTAGTGAGTGAGTCCCTTTCTTCTTTTTTGGGGGGAAGGGTGTGAGGCATATTCAGTACATGTAGAGACCAAGTTTATTCTGTCATTGTCTGTAGCAAGGAAATCTGCTAGAATTTAAACTATTGTTGCTAAAAATAAAATACTGGAGAGATAATACAACAAAAAGTGGTTATCTTCGAGCCATGGCATTATGAGGAAGACTCCTTTTCTGCATTTTTCAAAATCCTACAAATAACATACTACTATTATCTTTAACATGATATGAAATATGTGAATATATATTATATGTTAAATAATATAATCGTTAATAATATTAAATAAAATGTTAATTAAAAATAAATACAACAGTTGCCATTTTTGTTACCATGATAAAATTATATTTGTATGTATGGGAAAAATAGATGCAAGCATACTTTGATTTTTCTCAGTGGTGATACTAAACAAATATAGTAAATTAATGTGTAAAATGAATGAAGTGGCCTCTTCCTCCTCCTTCTCACCCTTTAGCAGTAACTGCAGTTATCAGTTTATTGACTTCAGGTGCCAGTGGCCCTTCAGCGTGTTCCCTGGTTCCTTCTTTCTCCCTTCTCTCAGAAGTAGGAGCTGATCAAATATTTCCATGCTTTAGGAGAGCTGTATGTTAAAGATTCCCTTTGAATAAGGGGAAAAAAACAAATAAATATCCTCTAATTGTTACGTATTAGAAAATTGGTTGTGATTTAGCATATTAAGTTTTCACCTAAAAATTACACTTGGAGTCGTGGCTGGTGTTGCTCAGTGGATCGAGCACTAGCCTGTGAACCAAAAGGTTGCCAGTTTAATTCCCAGTCAGGGCACATGCCTGGGCTGCAGGCCTGTCCCTGGTTGGGGGTGTGTGACAGATACCTGATAGATTTTTCTCTCCATCTGTTTCTCCCTCCCTTTCTCTCTCTCTGAAAATAAATTAATAAAATAAAGAAAAAAACTTACACTTGGAGTCAGTATCTCGAGAAATACACATTTGGTGGCATTAATATTTTCAGTTATTTACATTCGGTTCTCATCATGAAATTGTTGTCAAAACAGATAGAATTCTGTACACTTGGCAGTCTCGCCTAAAAGCAAAGCCCAAGACTGGAATAGCAAGAATTTACAGGTCAAGATAGAAGGGCATTTGGCAGAGTTACTCACGAGGAAGTCTGCATGGTATACTTTACCAAAAGCAGCTCACATTGCACTAAGCCCTGATATTTTAGTCACTTTTGGGAATGAATAAACACTGGTCCAACCCAAAAGAACTAAACAAAAATCTGGGACACTGAAAGCACAATTATTAGCCCATTATTAATATTAGTCTATTATCTTTAAATCATGTTTACTCTTTTTGAAGCAATCTGTTCTCATAGAATTATTTTTCTACCTATAATAAATAGCCATATGTGCCTATTTATTGTATTGGTTATATTTCATAGGATCAGAGGACTTTAAGGCTGGAATGATCTGTAGAACTTACCTAGTTTAGCCCTTCCAATTTACAAATCAGGGCACTGTGGCCAGGCCACTTCATCTGTTACAGGGAGAGCCAGCCTTCAGATACTTAGGTTCCTTCACCCATGAGCCAGCATTCTTTGTTCTTTTCACTACACCAGCTGCCAGTGTAAATAATGTGCCTCGATTTTAAATTTTGTTTTTCAGGAGTTGGACAAGATGCTTGAAGAAATGGATGACAGGAGAAGGCGCTGGAAGGAGAATACATTTACTCCTTTTTCCAGTGCTCGGGATGTTCTAAATGAGGCTTTACAGCCTGAATCTTCTGCTGAACCAATGTCTTTAGGTAAGAGCAAGAGAATGGAAGGAATTTATCATTTGTCCGAGAGAAAGTTTCCAGAAGATCCTATATTCAAAAGGAAAGACTTTATTTACCAACCAAATGAAAAAGAACAAGAACCAAATTTAAGAGAAAGAAAGATGAACATTTTCAAGAACGAAGCAGATGCAAACTCTGTCTCCTGTGAATCATCTAATTTGGATGTTGGAACTGAAGAAAGCTTTGATAGCACAGAAGATGATTACATGTGGAATACAAAGGGATTACCAATTCCAAGGCGACAAGACAAGAAGAAAAAATATACTGAAGGAACGTATCCAAAACTTAGCCTGAATATTATGAATGAAGAACTGGAAGAACTTAATATAAAATGTAAAAAAATACAAGAAGAATATGAAAATGCTGAAAAAGAACTTGTGAAAGCCAAAAAGGAAGTCTCTGCAAAATCCCTAAATTTTCAGGAAACTTGGAAGAAACACCGGGAACTTCAAGCTTTAAGAAATGACCTATTTGAAAAAGCAACAAATGTCAGAAAGTTAACCGAAGAGCTTCAGGAAGCTGAAGAAGTCATCCACAAGTTGACCCTAGAGAACAAACATTTAAAAGAATCTGTGAGGGAGTTAAAGCATCAGAGTGAGGTTGGAAATGCACTCATAAAAGAAGAAATAAAAATTTATTATGAACTAGAAATGGAAAAGATGCGCGGAGAGCTGGATGCTCTCAAGGAGGAACTGAGAGTTGAGAAGACCCTGCAAGCAAGAAATAACAGAGCCCTGGAGTTGCTGAGAAAACACTTCTCTACTGTAACATCAAGTACCCTTGACAGCTTTACAGGGGATGTTTTTTCACACTTGAAAAATTAAAAGCCTTTAATTAGGCAAATCTTTGAGCCAAATCAGTGTTTCTGGTGCTTTTTTGGTGTGCTACTTCAAATGTGTTTGCTGGGATGTAATTTTCATTTTTGGTGAATCAAGACATCTGTACAGTGTATATATTCTAACTTCAAAGTGTCTGCTTTCTCTTTCTAGTGGAGTTATTAGAGGTCCAAATGGAAATGAAGCTTCAGAAATCTTTTTTTTAAAATATCATTTTAATCAGACCTGTAGTGATTCACCAGATCATTTATGAATACAAGTCAACAGCCATGTTGTGATCTTGTGAGCATTACGCCCTTGGCTCATGAATATTCTTCCATCTGTGTTCATTGATGTCAACAATAAAAATCACGTTTATGTGCATAAGCATAACATATGTCTATGGCTCTTATAGCTGCCTGTTCAGACTCAGTGGAATACAAAAATGTGTCTCCTTTCTTTGATATGTAACCTTAATTAGGCACATATAAACATTTCAAGAAAAAATGCAGATTTTTATCCTCCCTGTTGTCTTCCCCATGCTTTCTCCTTTGACCTGGCCATGGTTCCCATAGACTAGAAGATGACATATAAACATGGCTGTGACCTTTGCTAAAGCCCTGATTTGTCAGCAATGGCTTTTGTGTTCTCTTACGTTGACCACCAAGGGGCATTGTTTACACAGTTCTTCCAAAATTCTACCGGAGTGTGGGCTTGGGGGATTTATAGGTTTCCCGTGCAGTTTACACAGCCAGCTGATTGGGACTCAGTGGAAAATACTGGGTGTCAGCTAGGTAACCCGTTAGTGAGCAGGCTTGATTTAGACAGGAACCCAGTTCTGTAAGCAGCCTGGGCAATGATAATTTATTTCATACTTTAAGAGAATAAAAAATGTACTGCCTCAATCCTGTGATAGAAACTATGGGCCAGTTGATTCTTTCCGTTTGTTTGTATCAATCAAGATTTTTTTTCCATTGGCGCTCCATTGGTTTGCTATTTTTAAGTCCAATGAGCCAAATGTAATTACAAGCTATGAGGGTGGGATACAATTGTAAGGGTTTAGGTATGTTCCTATATGGGAAATCCCCAGACTGGCAGTCTGAGCATTTGCATTTGAGTTCTAGGACCTGCTTTGCAATTAACTAGCTCAGTAAAAGTCCTAAAAATATTCATCTGTATAATGAGGGAGTAGAACTGTCATCTAGATTTTCTTTGCTTCTAATGTTCTGTGATGTCACCACAGTGATTTTATTTGCAGATGTAACTGTACCTGTGAAGAAGTAAATCTATGGCATCAGATTCACTCAGTTCTAGTATCTGAGGGACCTACATTTCAGACATCCCCCTTCAAAGAAATATACAAAGTCTCTATAGTTTGAACATTTCCAAATACTGTGTCATTACTAATCAGGAGAGGATGTAAATGAGGTTCTTCCTTCTCCTTTCTATTGTTACATTTTTACTTGTTAAGGTTGGAGAAGGCATGATAGAGACCAACTAAGCTGACCCAAGGCTGAGCAGGGCTGGTCTAGCCTGGGAAGGTTGGACTCAATTAGAAGATAATCATCTTTGGCACTTTCTGATTTAGCCCTGATAACCCAGGTACTACTGGCAGCCTAAAAGGGAAAGATGACTTCCAGGTTTTTGGGGGTCACTGGCTTCTCAAAAAGGGGCTTGGTACAAAAGCAAACTAAGAACTCTGCCCTATTTGACTGTCTTCCTCACCACCCCCCTCAAAAACTATCCCTTTGTCTTTGCCCCAGAAAGACTCTCAGTCCTCGACTGCTAGTGTATAGAACTATCGACATGTTAAAATATTTCACAAATTGTATTAATTAAGCTACCAGGCACAATCTTTGTAGTATATTTTAGTTTTTAGAGAGGAGCTTTACTCCAGGAGAATTTCTATCAACCAACCACCGGTGTGAAATCTTAAGTGAAAACTTGGCCTCTGCCTGGTGTGGCTCACTGGATTGAGCACCAGACTGAACCAAAGGGTGAGTGGTTCAATTTCCAGTCAGGACACATGCCCTATAGGGGGCGCTAAAGAGGCAGCCACACACTGATGTTTCCTTCTTCCCCTCCTTTTAAATAAATAAAACCTTTAAAAAAAACTTGGTTGGTCTTTCATGTGTGTGTATGTGTGCTTATGCATGTTCGAGGTTCAGGGAAAGAGTGTGCTGGAGGGAGGTCCAGAAAAAAACTGCATGGCTTGGCTCAGCTCTAGGGTAGTGTGTTTGTATTTCTGGGAAGAACCTGGAAAACAGATACTTATTGAGACAGGCCTGGGGTGCTGAGCTCTAGCAAGGCCCAGCCTATGGAAAGCCTAGATCCAAACACTAACCAGGGATACAATAGACAATCACGAGGTCCAGAGGGCTAAAAAGAAATGGAAGCCAAGGTAACAGAGCCAACATTTTGGAGCTAGGAAGGGTTCTCATATTTTGACACTTTTATTTTTAAAAACAGGCCTGCAATAAGCTTGGAGAAAGCTAAGCAATTCCTCTTCCTGGGCAGATGGGAACAACAGTGGGCTGAAGTGGCTTAAAGAACCAGAATCAAGGCAGATACTAGTATTCTGTCCCATTGTCTCTGTGATCATATTCTCTTGTTGCATAGGTGGCTCCTGATTTTTATCGGAATATATTGTCATTATCCCTTTTAGCATATTGAATTGGAGATGTACAGGGTTGGTTTTTTTTTTCCTCCAAGATTTTATTTCTTTTTAGAGAGAGGCTAAGGGTGTGAGAGGTACAGAGATCAGTTGTCTTTCCCATGCCCCATACTGGGGACCTGGCCCACAACCCAGGCATGTGCCCTGACTGGGAATCGAACTGGTGACCTTTTGGTTCACAGGCTAGTGCTCAATTCACTGACCCACACCAGCCAGGGCTAAAGGTTTTTTGTTTTGTTTGAACAGAAATGGTATATCATGCTACTCATCCCTTTGATCTGTTTGGTAAAATACTTGAAATCAGCAATGCAGTTGCATACCATTCCCCACCAAATTCCAGTTTCTTACTAAGAGGTGTGGGGTGTCATAGGGCTCTAGGAATATCTCCTCCGTGTTCAGTTTACAATCCAGTTCTAGAAACATTTCCCGATCACTTCTTACCAGAGTTAATCACTTCTAAGACACACTTAAAAATATTTTGACATCCCTGAATTTGTGACACATCTTGAAATCAATGGCATGTCATAGTGTAATAGTGTTTGGGTTTTTTAAAACCTTCCTTAACTGTTCATAAAATAATGGTTCAGTGGGGTTTTAGATTTGATGGAATGTGGTATGTGCTAGGCTGGGGATGTGGGGATAAAAGGGTTTATGAATAAGACAGGTCTCTGACCTCAGTGACCTTACTTATGTGACTAACTGAAAGAACGTGGTAAATGCTATACTAGCAGTGCTAATACAAAGTGCTGTGGGAGCACAGAGGAGGATCAATTAATTCTGCCTGTGGGGCTGGGAAGGACTTCATAAAGGAGGTGACATTTGAGCTGAGCCTTGAAGGATAAGAAGGATTTTTCCAAGCCAAGCATGGGGGCGGGGGCATTTCTGGAATGTGAATGTGGAAGGTCTATTTGGCTTCAAAGAGGATTGGTAACAGCAATGAATTAGAACATTAGGCTGTTACATTTAGCTGACTTTTAAAGTCCCATTTGAGGTTCTACTCTGAAAGGTACTGTGATTCCAAATTTTGCTCATTTGCAGGTAGACTAGACAATACAGTTATGATATAAAGACCAGGTTCCAGATAACAAACTGTAGTAAAAGACTTTTTTTGCTGGTGTCATTGTACCTTTGGTTGCCATCATTTTTGTTTTGGAAACAAAAGGCCTAAGAGATTTTGCTCATAATATCCAGCTAAGTCCACTGTGAGCAGCCTGATTTCAAAGACATGTATAAAAGAGAAACACCACAGTCACCCTTCTCTGTGAAAGCACAGTATAGCAGAGATTAAGTGCACAAACTTTGATTATCCACTTAGTAGCAGTGTGAGCTTGAGAAAGTTGTATAATTACCAGTAGCTCAGTTCCCTCATTTTGTAGGACAGGTTTAATGAAGAGTGTTGTTGGGAGAATAAAATGAGATCACATACAGTGAATAAATGTCACTATTGTTGTCAACATTATTATTATTATTATTATTATTATTATTTTATACAGCTGACAAGGGGAAATAGACCAAGTCCGGCTATTGTCCCCCAAACTATCACTGTCACCAAGGTCTACACATACAGGGTGAGCAAAAGTAGGTTTACAGTTCATGTGAAAAATAATACAATAATTAATAAATAATAAGACGAAGAAATGCTGTGTTTGCATACTCACACTGTATATTCCTCAAATTGTGTTCTCTGGAGAGGGCATGCTAAACTAACCCATAGTATGAGTTTCAGTGATGTGTGATACATTTGGAAAGTTGGAAGAAGTTGCAGGGAAGATATTTTTATTTTATTAGCATATGAAGTCCTAAGCCAAAGTCATGAATTTGTTACAATGGTCTTTCTGGCCTCAAGGCAGACCCTGTAAAGGGAATATTCTTGGGTCAGAGCCTACCCGGCCCCTCTCCAATTGGGTTGGTGTAAGGCTGGCCCCTGGCCCTGGCAGGCAGAATACCAGAAGGGGATAGAAAGCCCTGCTCTAGTGCTCTGGGAGGGAGAAACTTATCTAGGAAAAGGGAATGGAGACAAGAGGGGCTATTATAACATTTTTATTTCCCCTTGGCACAGGGAGCCATGCAGCTGGGGACCTGCTACTACAGCTGCTCAGATAAAATAAGAATAAGTCATTGTCTTGTTCTTTGTACTCATAAGACACGGACGCTGTAGTTCTCCGTGTATTGTAGGTGCACCCTCCTTTCATACTGAGTATCAAGATGGTGTCTCCCCTGTTCAGTGGCCAAAGCTACTTTTCACAGAGTCTCTCCCCCACTACTTCTCTCACTATTGATCATGCCCAGCTTTTTGGCATTTGCTACATTTCACAGGGCTCAGGTTGCCATTTCCCAGGAGACTGAATTCATGC